CTCTATTCATGATGTTGCTTTCGAAAGAGGGGGAGGAGCCTCATCACTGTGAATACCATGCTTCCTATTGCATTTTGATTGGTTAATGTTTCACTTTTCTTTACTGCTGTGTGAGTTAGTAAAGAGAGTTTAATGCAAAATACTCGCCTCCTGTCATTACTAAAATTAAGATTATAAGTACACTAACGCTAGCATAATCTTCAATTCTCTTATCTGCTGCTTTTGCAAGTCCTCCCCTGCTAACTGTGACCAGACTTTATCTGGCTGTCCAATCACAGACTTCCTAATGAGCTCCACTGACCTAGACTTACCAGGAAGCAATAGGACATGTTGTCTGCTTAAAAGCCAAGGGGCTGTAACAAAGTTAATTTTATATAATTAAGAGGGGGGGATTTCTGTTGAAACCTGAGCTTTTGCAAAGTTGAAAATATACATTCACACATATTAAAAAAGCCAGCAGCACAGATATATTTTCCCATGTATCTTTATCTTATGTGTTCATTACCATTTTATAGGTTTATCAATCACAGAACTAATTTACTTTGCACTCATTCCACTAAAATATATTCATAACTAAGTTGTAATGTGACTTAAATGTAAGCCAGTGGCAATTTCATATTTAAAGCACCATACTAAGATCTTTCTTTTAAAGAGCTTAGTATAATCACTTAGGTTTGAAAGTACCAAGGCTACACTTATATTGTTTCTACAATTTTATGTATATATATATAAATACCTTTTCATTTTGGTCTAGTTCATTGAAAATATCTCCATTCAATCAAGAAAATAAGGGTTTTGGAAATAAAGAAAAAAACTCTATTTAATGAAGATTTTTTTTTGGTGTAAGGATATTGTTAGAGTTCTTGTTGTCCCCTTTTAAAATTATTTAAAAAACAAAAACATGTTTACTGTTATTTTTAAGTTTGCCCCTTCAGTGTCCAGCTTATGAAGCATATAATATATAATATATATCTATCTATCTATATCTCCTTTTGTATCCCCTTCAGTGGGATTTGGTAAGATAATTTCCACAAAACAATCTCAATGAAAAGTTGGCAACGTTCGGGTTAAGCCATTCCAGAAAACCAATTATCTTATCAACTAGAGATGGAAAAAAAAAAAAGCCATTAACTATAACGAAGGCTCTTTCGTTTTATTCCAATGTCTATTTGAATATAAGCTCACCTGCCATGTCAATGCAAGCCTTGAAAAGGCGAGTCCTACGCTAGCCATTAGATTTGCTAATATAAGCAATAAGACAGGAAGGGGTATTTTATAAACCATTTAACCCTTTATAGGGCTTCTACACATACAATAAGCGTTGCTGGTATCAGACAAAAGGTAAAGATGAGACATGAATGGGTGTTTTATAAACCCCTACATACGTATTAACCCTAAATAGAGCGATAACACATACAAATCACCTTGCTAGTATCAGCTAAAAGGCAAATTTCTCTGTTGAGACAGGAAGGGATGCTACCACTACATACTTAGAAACTCGTAATAACACAAACATGGGGTGGCTTGCAGCAATCTAATGTAGCGTTGTGATACAAACAAAAATAAAGCACCGTGCTTACAGCAGCAGTAGCTTAGTATCTAAAAGCTCAAAATATATGGTAAAAAACAACTCTGGCTTTAATCCCTATGTACATTTAAACAAAAAATGGAGTCTCTTTAGTTTTATTCCAATGGCCATTTGAATAGGAGCTCACCTGCCATGTAAAGGTGAAGCTTATGAGTCCAATTTATTTTTCCTTTTGTATCTACTTCAATAATGGGGTTTGGTATGATCAATTTCCACAAAACAATCCCAGTTAAACCATTCCAGAAAACCAAAATATCTTATCATCTAGAGATGGAAACAGACAACTAAAATAAAGACAAGGGGATATGCATGCCTTATATTTAGAGATTATAAATAAATTGGATTGCATGTGTAAAAAAAAAAAAAAAAAAAAAAAGTTTGCATATGTTAGTGCCCTTTGCCTCCAATACACATTTTGAAGATCTACATGGTCATTAAGTTTGTATGCTAGGGGGAATAAATGTTGTTCGGTAACATTATGCCATTGATTGTATAGAAGGAAATTGAGAGATAATTATAATTAAGATCAGGGGTGGACTGAGAGCCTTTGGGGCCCCCGGGCAAAATTAGATCCCAGGCCCTTTGAAGGCCAAATATACGTGCATTAAATAAATGTTAAATATAACTCATAATACGGCTTTCCTTTGGATGTGTATCTTGTGAAGACCTGTGTATCAATGCATGTTTGTATTTGAGTCTGTGTGAATGCACTTGTGCATGTCTGGATGACTACATGTGCTTTTTTTGTATATAGGGTCTGTGTGAATGCATATGTGACAGGTGACTGAGTGTGTGAGGGAGAAGGTGACAGGTGGAAGAGTGTGGGAGGTTGTGACAGGTGGCAGAGTGAGGGGGTACCTGGTGGCAGAGTGAGGGAGGGGTTGAGTGGTGGAAGAGTGAGTGGGGGTGACTGGTGACAGAGTGAGGGAGTGGGTGACTAGTGACAGAGTTAGGAAATGGGTGACTAGTGACAGAGTGGGGGATGGAGGGAAGAAATGACTAGTGGCAAAGTGAGGGAGGGAAGAGGTGACTAGTGACAGAGTGAGGGAGGGGGTGACTGTCACTAGTCACACCATCCCTCTCTCTGTCACTAGTCACTCCCTCCCTAACTCTGTCACTAATCACCCCCTCTGTCCCTAGTCACCCCCTTCCTCTCTCTGTCACTAGTCACCCCCTTCCTCTCTCTGTCACTAGTCACCCCATCCCTCTCTCTGTCACTAGTCACCCCATCCCTAACTCTGTCACTAATCACCCCCTCTGTCCCTAGTCACCCCATCCCTCTCTCTGTCACTAGTCACCCCCCCTCACTGTCACTAGTCACCCCCCCCTCACTGTCACTAGTCACGTCACACCCTTCCTCACTGTCACTAGAGTGAGGGGGTGACTAGTGACAGAGTGAGGGGGTGACAGGTGACAGAGTGAGGGAAGGGGTGACTAGTGGCAGAGTGAGGGAAGGAAGGAGTTACTAGTGACAGAGTGAGGGGGTGACTTGTGACAGAGTGAGGGAGGGGGTGACTATCACTAGTCACCACCTCCCTCACTCTGTCCCTAGTCACCCCTCCCTCTGTCACTAGTCACCCCCTTCCTCACTCTGTCACTAGTCACCCCTTCCCTCCCTAACTCTGTCACTAGAGTGAGGGGGTGACTAGTGGCAGAGTGAGGGAAGGAAGGGGTGACTAGGACAGAGTGAGGGAGGTGGTGACTGTCACTAGTCACCCCCTCCTTCTGTCACTAGTCACCCCCTCCCTCACTCAGTCACCAGTCACCCCCTCACTCTGTCACCAGTCACCCCCTCACTCTAGTGACAGAGTGAGGGAGGGTGGGACTAGTGACAGAGAGAGGGAGGGGATGACTAGTGACAGTAAGGAAGGGGATGACTAGTGACAGAGTGAGAGAGGGGGTGACTAGTGACAGAGTGAGGGAATGGGTGACTGTCACTAGTCACCTCATCCCTCCCTCTGTCACTAATCACAACCTCCCTCACTCTGTCACTAGTCACCCCCTCCCTCTCTCTGTCACTAGGGTGAGGGGTTGACAGAGTGAGGGAGGTGGTGACTAGTGACAGAGTGAGGGAGGTGGTGACTGTCACTAGTCACCCCCTTCCTCTCTGTGTCACTAGTCACACCCTCCCTCTCTGTGTCACTAGAGTGAGGGGGTAACTAGTGGCAGAGTGAGAGAAGGAAGGGGTGTGGCGAAACCGGCCTCGCCACGTGTCCTTGGAGGGGGCTGCTTGCCCGCCTCTTGCCTTTGGACTATGGACCAGACTTTATGTGAAGTTATTAACCCAGATAGCTATGCCATGGAGCCCATTCGTGTAGTTAAAGACTTCGGCTCCATGGCAATTGAACTGTGTGAATAGGATCTGAGTGCTATTCGGTAGTTTTGTGCGCTCAGATCCCAGCTATCTGGGGATATGTGACATGTCTGTGTTTTATGTATAAAATGTGACTTTATGTATTTTGAAGTGTTTTGTGTCTTTTTGCAACCATGTGCTTAATGGAGTCTTGTGTCTGTCCTGGGAGATAATTGAATTACTCTCCAGGATAGAAGACTCTGAAACTGGTTTGGGCCGGAAAGCCATGCTTCATTTAGTCACAAAGGACTTTCCCTTAACTTTTGAACCCCTGGTCTGATTCGTGCCATTTTTTAATATGTTGTTCCCCTGAATGGATGATTATGAAAATGTAAGTTTTATGTATGTACGATGTTAACTCACAAAGTTATAAAAATGTACAAAAATTAACTTTTCAGCTTGGAGATAATTGAGTAGATACAGTAATTGACTCAATTATCTCCTAAGCAGAGGGGAGGAATATGCTGGGTGTGTGTCTATTGTCCCATTGTGTCTGATTGGCTGCTGTACTTGCATTGTATGTGTTGTAATGTGTTTATTGGTGGTTCTGCAAAACCCTGTGGGCAGTACTATGTTTTGTGGATTGTAATAAAAACCAGGCTGGGTGTGCCAGCACTGGAGTTCCTGTTTTAACCCCCAAAGTGAAGTGTCGTCTCATTATTGGGGGAAGGATTTATTGTATGCTGTTCCAGTTTGACTGCTAGGAGAGTAAACCTATTCGTATGGTTCCTATTCAACTGTCTACAGCATTCAAATGCTTGAGAGAAGGTATACGCTTCTCTGGTTCAGTGATTGTGGTGTCTGCTGCAGTGCTTGGAGTCCTCAGGAAGCGCTAGGAGCATCCTTCAACGGAGGTACCCAGTCGGGGTGCCAGGTGATCCGTTACAAGGGGTGACTAGTAACAGAGTGAGGGAGGGGGTGACACAGTGAAGGAGGTGGTTACTGTCACTAGTCACCCCATCCCTCCCTCTGTCACTAATCACCACCTCCCTCACTGTCACTAGTCACCCCTTCCCTCCCTCACTCTGTCACTAGTCACCCCCTCCCTCACTCTGTCACTAGAGTGAGGGGTGACTAGGGGCAGAGTGAGGGGATGACTGGTGACAGTGAGGGAGGGGGTGACTAGTGACAAGGAGGGGGTGACTCACTCTGTCACTAGTCACCACCTCCCTCACTCTGTCACTAGTCACCACCTTCCTCACTCTGTCACTAGTCACCACCTCCCTCACTACTCCCTCCTTCTGTCACTAGTCACCACCTCCGTCCCTTACTCTGTCACTAGTCATCCCCCTCTCACTCTGTCACCAGTCATCCCCCTCTCACTCTGTCACCAGTCACCCCTTCCTTCCCTCACTCTGTCACCAGTCATTCCCTCACTCTAGTGACAGAGTGAGGGAGGGTGTGACTAGTGACAGAGTGAGGGAGAGGCTGACTAGTGACAGAGTGAGGGAGGGAATAGGTGACTAGTGATAGAGTGAGGGAGGGGTGACTAGTGAGGGAGGGTGTGACTAGTGACAGAATGAGGGAGAGGGTGACTAGTGACAGAGGGAGGGAGAGGGTGACTAGTGACAGAGGGAGGGAGAGGGTGACTCCCTCACTAGACAGAGTGAGGGAGGTGGTGACTGTCACTAGTCACCACATCCCTCCCTCTGTCACTAGCCACTCCCTCCCTAACTCTGTCACCAGTCATCCCCTCACTCTGTCACTAGTCACTCCGTCCCTCCCTCTGTCACCCCCTCCCTCCCTCTGTCACTGGTCATCCCCTCCCTCACTCTGTCACTAGTCACCCACTCACTCTAGTGACAGAATGAGGGAGAGGGTGACTAGTGACAGAATGAGGGAGGGAAGGGGTGACTAGTGACAGAATGAGGGAGGGAAGGGGTGACTAGTGACAGAATGAGGGAGGGAAGGGGTGACTAGTGACAGAGTGAGGGAGGGAAGGGGTGACTAGTGACAGAGTGAGGGAGGGGGTGACTAGTGGGGGTGACTAGTGACAGTGATGGGGGGGTGACTAGTGACAGTGATGGGGGGGGTGCCTACCTGTCTCTCTGCTTCCTCTGCTCTCCCAGGCTGCAGCTCCTTCCACTTTCTGTGTGAGAGGAGTAAACAGGAAGTGAGGTCACTTCCTGGCCGCCTCTCCCATCACACAGAGCCGCGTGGGACAGGAAGCAGGAGACCTGGCAGGGTACATAATTTTTATATATATATTCCAGAAAGGTTTAACTAGTTGATGTAAGAGTGGGGCCCGGGGCCTCCTTGCACCATACCAATTTTATTTAGATGTTATGGTGCCTAAACTATCCATCTAATCTCTTCCACTCTAATCTGCCACTATGATGTGGAGGGAGTGCACAGAGATTTCCAGGAGAGTGGTATTAGAGTTTTGGCTGTTTGTAAAAAGGAGGGAAGGCACAATCTACAAATCTGTGCTAGATGAGAGAGGGAGAAGAGTTATGAAATGAGATTTAGGTGCTTTCACAATTGTGCAGGCGGTATGCACGCCACCCAATGTGCAGTAATGAACCCTTATCCACACAACACACCTTCAATAGGTGTCAGGAATGATCAGATTCCAGTTATGCAGTTTACCAGGAGTACTTTACCAGCTGGAAAGCAGTTAAACCTTACACTTCGTGTTAAAGAGTGTGTGAGTTTAAAAATTCTGTCTTTTTGCTTCAACTAAATGTAAAGGTACTCTTACTACTTCTTGGTGTAGGTAGGGAGTTTGACTTGGCATTACATAGACTTCTAAATATATGTGATAGAGCTAGTTTGGGGACTATCTGGGTTACACAACTATTATCAAATTCTGTACGTGGTTGATATTTACAAAACAGTATTCCAAATCTGAAAACTAGAGAGTTGGGAATTCTAGCATAATATTAGGATACACAAAACACATGTATATAAAAATATCTATTTTAGTGAATTATAACCCCTTCTATTATCATAGCCTACAGTTAAAAAAAAATCAAAAAAAAAAAAAAAATCTACCTTTGACTTTTTTTTTTTAACATCCACATGCTTATAAAGAGATCCCTGTTCACATTAAAAAGAAAAAGGCCAACCAGGTATCACAGG